TTCAGATGTCCCTCACCTTGCTGAATGAAACCACTAATGACTTGGGCAAACCCTTCACTATATACACTGTGATACAACTGCTGGGGATACAGACAATAAATGTTCCAATCCCCTTGTCCACCTCAAGCTTTTATTTTAAAATCCTTGCTTTCACACTGTTCTTGCTCACTAGCACATAGGCCAACAAGTGACTACTAAAAGGACATCACAAGATTCGTACTCAGGTTGAAAAGCTAATATAGATGGTTAAAATGTGATTATATTTAGCTATCAATAGCAGAATCCCATTCCTGTCCTACTGATGAGAAATCATCAATATACCTGATATCACTCACAACGCCAACTCAGCACAAATGAAAGAAAAGACCAAACAAAACAAAATAAAACAACTGAACAGTTTTACTAATGCTTAACCACCATGAAAATATAACATCACTAGTGGGCAACATGCCTGCTCACTGGAATAATAACAATTATAAGTTTTTAAATAAATCAGCCTTCCAAGCTGAAACTGTTGTTTTAAATGAACAACATCCCTTCCTACCCTGTTAACACTCATTACCAAGCTTGCAAAAACCATTTAACATCCAGCTCCTCTGCAGGCACTCGGATCTGATTTCCAGGGGCTGCCCCACACCACAAAGCTGAGCAGGGAGAAGGGAGCTGGAGCTGCAAAGGGAACAGGCACTGGAAACCATGACCCTCCTCACAAGGACAATGGGCTCTGCACCTCGGAGATAAGGGAAGAAGGGGGATTGATCACTGGCTTTTCACAAAGAATCACACTCAGCCATGGCAGGAGCTTCTACAGATCCCAACCTTTTCCATTTGCTTTGGCCTCTTCTTGAGAAGCTGATAAATGAGCAATTTTCCCTGTGTTCTTTATGCTGGAAGATTAATTAGATACACCACCATCAGAACCAAAGGAATAAAAAAGGCCTTTCTGCAGACCCCTCCTTTGCTTTTCTGCTGCATTTGTGTTGACTTATGACAGCAAACCCCCCAAGTACCTGGATAACTACACATACATACAGATAAGCACAAAGAGAGAGAATGCTCTAGAGAGCAGACAGCAATCCAGCTATTTTTACTCCTGTGCACTGAAACTCATATAAATCAATACACAATTCCCTGTTAAACCATGCCTGCAAAAAACCACTTCCAGATAAACCAGCATTAGGGGTGTGAATGAAGCCAGTCACCCACATCAGGAAGGTGTGAGCTTCAAGCCACCACTCTGAATTACAACCATTTAAACAGCAACATTATAAAGTAAATCTGCTTTAAACCGCTCAAGGAACAATTCTGGGATGAGAGGAAGCTCAGCACAGCTCCTGCTGCCGTGGCCTGTTCCTCCTGACTCTGCTGCTCCCCACGGTCCTGGTGCCAGCTCCAGCTGTGCCAGCACAGTGACAGGTGACAAAAACGTGTTTGCTTTGCACTGGAAAAGGCATTGCTTTGTCTCAGGGCCATCTGAAGGTGCTGAGAGCAGTGACCTCTTAACGCTGTGGGGAGCCCGATTTCCTCCACAGAGGGGGATTTACAGGGTTAGGGAGGAGCTTCTCATAGAAGAACTTCAACATTCCAGGTCTTTCCTGCCACTGTTGATGGTGAAAGATGAGGCCAGGAGTCCCTAAGAGAAGGTGTCATTGCAGATGCTGCCCCATAACAGAACAACCCTCCCTGCAGGTTCCTGTGTATCCCACCCCCTGTGTTCCCCTCACCCTCCCTGGGCACAAGGGCAACACCCCACAGGAACTTCCCAGGATCTTCTGAAATCCCTCTTGAAGACAGAAAAATTAGGAAAGGAAAAAAAAAATCCCCTCCCCAAAGCATGAGTATAAAAAGCACTGGTAACTACTCTATGATTACAAAGCAACTTTCCTAGGCCATATTATTTCACAGTGTGAATTAGTTCTAAATGCTCCTTAACAATGGAATACTACCTAACAAGCTCCTGCTGCAAAACACTACTGTTATTTCTAATTCCACTGACTTTGTTCCCAGTGATTTCCTTACTGGTAAATGCTCGGCATTCAGACCTGGTGAGCAACCACCAAAGATAATCCTTAATTGAATAAAACGTTCTCTAGCGCATTCTATAGAGAAATTTCATTTATTAGGAGCTTTTATCCTTGTATTTGCACAGCTGTTCTTAAAGGGAGAGACTGATGCTAATCCTTTGTGTTTTAAAAAACAGCATGATAAAACTATTTCCAGAGTAGCACCTTCAAAAATTAAAGCTGTGAAATTAAGGAGAAAAAACACCAAGTAGTTTTAAATTTGCCTCCGATGGATTTTTAGTACACGTTAAACTCCTGTTTTGTTTTGCAGGAACAAAATAAACACTGGAAAAGATACAGCAGGGCTGTCAAACCTGGCCACACCACAGTTCTGTTTTCACGAGTTTGTGCCTCTGTAATTAGCTTAGGAACCTAAAGAAAACCCTCCCTGGCACTTACTGTGTGACACTGGCTCTAAAAACATCTGGTGCTTAGTCTGTAAATACTAATACGGCCCAGAAACAGTGGGAACACTCCCAGTGCCACATTCACGCAGCACAAAAAAAAAGCCCATTTAAGGGCCTGGTTTGGGGTTTTTGTGAACAGAACAAGTTTTGCTGCATTCAACAAGACAGGCAAGTGCTTTTCATGCAACCTCTGCATCCCCTGGGACTTTGGCAGCGATGCTTATCAAGGCTGTGATTTCCTGTGTGAGCACGTCAACTCCTGCAGTTATCAGTGCCTGTTGGTAAATAAATCCCATGATCACAACGCCCAATTACAGAATCCCGGGGCAGTTGAGGCTGGAAGTGACCTTTGGAGGAGGTGACCAACAGCAGCTGGCTCGGGGCACTCCGTGCTCTGACAGAGATCCCACAACCACTCTGGGCAGCCTGTTCCTGTCCCTCTCAAACAGCACAACAGTGTGTCCAAAAGCCAGTTTGTTGTCACCAATCACAGGGCACAGTGAGGGCTCTGCAGCCACTGTCCCCCACCCTCATCCCACACCAGTGACACCAGTGTCAGGGAGCACATGGCCACGGGGATGGGGGCACCTGGGACAGCAGGAGTGCAAGTGAGGGAGCACAGAATCATTTCAAATGAGTATCACCCTCCCTCTGACAGGGTCTCGCACTGAATTTCCTCCCATTAAGTTCCTGACGCTTTTTGTGTTTTCTTTTGAATACATCACCTGTGTTCAGAGTCCTTTCCTAACTGTGCCATTAATCCTGACAACAGCCTGGGCTTCAGGACATCCCCCTCATGAGCTGAGCTGTTCTGAACCATCACAAGATGCTCAGGACACAGGTCAGGTGCCCTGCTGTGTGTCCCAGTGACTGAGGGATGAGCTGTGTGCTCAGGGAGTGAGCAGAGCCCATCTTCCTAATCACACAGAGCAGGGCGTTACTGACACAGCAGAAGGTGACTTCACACTTCAACTTCTTCCCATCCCTGATAACTCCAGGTCTTGGCTCTGAATTCTCCCTGCTTTTCAATAATTCCTGCTAATCCTCATCTCTAACACACAAGGGAGTGCCCTGACTCCACATCTGCTGCACTCACCTCAGCTCTTCCCTTGAACACCAGAATCCAAAATGTGAGATCCTGGGTGTGCAGTGCATGTCCAGTCAAACCCTCCAGCTGCTTTCCCTTCTCGTCACACACTCCAGAATTTTAGTCTCTGCTTTTAGCAGCACTCCGGTGCTGAACCCACCCCCCTGTGCACCTCAAAACACCTTCCCAGCAAAGCACACCACAATCACACCTACCCAGTTCTGACTGAAAAACTAATGACAAATAACAGCCTGTGGCACAGAGTATGTTGCATGAGAGAAAGAGAAAGGCAGGCATGAGAAAATTGCAAATCTCTCTTCCAAAAAGTACCACGAGGACTTCCGGTTTAACCTCCCATCAGAAAAATACACACAGAGTAAAGGACATAAAGATAATTCTCCTGTGCTGGGTAAGTCCTTAAATTACTCATTTTTAACAGCCAAACAGAGCACTGAATACTAAACATCAAACTGCAGCCTTGTACTCCCAAAAACTCCTTTCAGCAGCAGAGCTGAAATCCAAGTCCAATTTTACTAAAACCTTTGCACGGATCTTCTTTTTCCTGGCTGGAATCAAGACCCATTCTTTCCTAAGATCAGTGTTTTAACCAGAAGGGAAAAAACCCCTTGATTAATAAATGATGAAATTAAGCAGCACAGAGGAAATTAATACATTGAGAGATAAAAAGAGGCAGAGTCAGAGGAACATTCTTCCTGGTGGGATGTTCTCAGTGCATGACTGGGCCGCACCAAACGTGCATTTCCCATCAGTGCTCACACTCCAAGAAAGAGAAAAAACACTTTTCTCCAAGTTCAGACATTAAGTCCATCCACAGCTGTACATATTCCAACACAAAAAAAATCCCAGACCTTTTAAATGACGCCTTTATGAATCTCTGCAGCCGTTTCAAACAGATTTCCACCCTCAAAACTTACAGCTGGGCTCCCCTAATTTGGTTCCTGACAAGTCCAGTACTCATGGTCTCCACGTGTTCAGAGGAGCCTGGCTTTTGACAGCCAGCCAGCCTTGGGTAGGACAGAATATAAAAACATATTCTGTCTTGGTAAGCTCAATACACAAACCCCAATTCAACTGTATTATACAGCAGCACTTGGTAAATGGCTTTTGAGCAAAATAAATCGTATTTCAGCTTTGGTTGCATGATTATCATACAGTGATTAACTGGTGTAATCACTACTGATAAATCAATTAATGAATTAGTGACAAATGTTTGTTGATAACGCATCATTTTTCTGGTTTCATTCTTAGGTTGAACCGGAGCAGACAGAGAGGGGAAAGGTCAGAGCTTCCCTTTGCTCAAAGACAAAAGGCGTGCACGCAAACATATATAAAAAGTAACAAAGGAATGCTTTTAAATGCTTGTTTTGCACCCTCCCCTGCAGGAACCCTGGGAGCAGGAGCAGCAGGGAGGTGCAGCCTTACCTTGATGTTGCAGGCCTGTTCCATGAGTCTGCGGGCGTTCTCCTCCGCTCGGTACCTCTTGGGCAGCTGAACCCGGAAGAATTTTAAAGCTCCTTCAAAATCAGCCTGTAGAAGGTCCTCTTTGGAGGTCTGCAATAAACACAGGGAACTCCAGTAAGCCCTGGGAACGGGCAGCCACGCTCTTTTACTGGATTGGGCATTTACTGGGTGCATTCCAAGCCACCAACGTTCACATTAGCTCGAAACCATCCTCCCTGAAATCAGCTCTCTAACCCTGCCTCAAAAACTAACTGAGGCTAAAGCCCATCCGAGGAACCCCAGCACAGAGGACTGCAGCCTGGGCATGGGTTTGATCCTTCTATACCTGTCAGGTGAGAAGTGATTCTGGCTCAGCCTGTCAGGATGTCAGCGAGGAGAGAAACAAAACCCAAGCAAGCAACAGAAACCTAGGAGAAAATATTTTCTGGAAAGCTTATTCATTAGACCATTGCTGATTCTCACAGAGCTGCCTTAGAAAGACAATGTGTGTATATATATCTTTTTTTTTTTAATATATATAGTCACAGACATGAAGAGCAGAACATATGACTCACAGGAGGCATCAGCAAGTCAATGTGCCGGAGTCTGTGACACAATTTCTCAAAGAATGCCGTGCCAGAAAATGTTTCACATGCTTCTTTCTACATCTGCCACGATCCTGCACCTCTCAGTGTGGGATCAAGCTCAACAGGTCAGAAGAGGTTACACATGGAGCATGAATCCAGTTCTGCCACTGATGGGGCAATTCACGGGGACAAATGTGTTCATCTTCATCCTCGGGGTTACTCAGACCCGCCCCGAGAGATCCAGCAGGCAGGACATCCCGAGCCTTGGGGACATCCCGAGCCTTGGGGACATCCCGAGCCTTGGGACAGTTCCTTTAAACGGTTCACAGAAGTTGAATGCCCAGACAAGACCTCACAAATGTGCATGTCAAGGTTTTTACCCAGCAAGGGCAAACAAATGTGCGTCAACAGGAGCTGGAGACCGGGGCTGTGTAACACTCTCACTGCAAGTGCCTCAGGAGCAGCTCAGGCACATTTGGGTAAGGTTAATTGCTGAATTAATTGCTCAACTTCCACCACCACCGTGTGGGCACCCTCTGCTTTCTCAGGAGCAACAGCCCATGTTCGTTTTTTGCCTCATTATAGGCAGTAAGTACATTACATACACGTAGTTTCAAAGTTTAATTCCTGTTTAATTGATGTTGTTAATCCACTCGGAACAATAGATTCACAGAACGGTTCGGGTGGGAAGGGATCTCAGAGCTCATCCAGCCCCACCCTTGCCATGGCAGAGTCACCTTCCACCAGCCCAGGTTGCTCCAAGCCCCGTCCAACCTGGCCTGGGACACTCCCAGGGATCCAGGGGCAGCCACAGCTTCTCTGGGCAACCTGTGCCAGGGCCTGCCCACCCTCACAGGGGAGGATTTCTTCCATGTATCCAATCTAATCCTGTCCTCTGTCACTTTGAAGCCCCTCATCCTGTCACTCCAAGCCCTTATCCAAATTCCCTCTCTCTCTGTTCTTTTCCTTCCTCAGAGTTCTGCCAAGATCTACTGGATCCTCCCTCTGTTCACAGCCAGGGAAGCTGCCGGCTCACCCCAGCAGGGACACAGGAAAAGCTGCCTGTGGGATGCTGATGAGGAACGTTCGGCTTGCAGAGCTGTCCCATCTGATCCTGCCCACAGCCCTTGGCAGCAGCACCACTTGGCTCGGGGAGCGGTGCCGGAGCACCTGGAATCCAGCACCACGCTGCTCCTGGACTGCTTTTCCCGAGGTTTGGAAGGCTCTTTGCCACACCTGAGGCCAGATCCCCGTTTCATAATCCTGGAATCATTAAGGTTAAAGACCTCTAAGACCACCGAGTCCATCCATTTACCCAGCACTGCCAAGTCCACTGCATGGGTTCTTCCTACGGGTCCTGACCAGGCATTTTTATTTTCATTTTGTATTTAATTTATGTTTTTTTCTTAAATTAGCAAAATGCATTTAGAGGTTTGGAATTTTTTTAGAAAGGAGAGAAGGAAAAAACTTTAAAAAAGGTAATAATCAACAATTAAATGACCCTGTCAAACTTCAGGACTGCAGATGCATCTTGTCTTTATGTCCATAGCACTTAAGTTAAAAATAAACATGTAAAAAAAACAGAAGAAAAAAATGATAAGGAAAATTATTATTATTATTATAAAAGAAAAATTATACTCACATATAATTGTCAGAAAACAGAATCAGATTTATTCCTCCTAGGCCCCTGCTTGAATCTCTATTATAATACTATATTAACAGTCCCCAACAAATTACTCTCATTAACCTGTAACTAGGGGCAATTTTGATTTCTCAACCCTGAAATATCTGTGGAAAATCCCGTAAGATTACAGGAATAAGAACTTTTCCGACAGAGTCTGCTGAACTCATACTGGATTTAGGGAAACTGCAAACCACCCCGTTGTGTGGGCTGGTTAATGAGGGGCAGAGCCCAGACCCGTCAGCTCCTTCTGCGTTTTCATTTCCATAAAATAATCTGCCGATCAAAAAATTGGTTTTACTACTAAAAGCACAAAGGGGGGGGGAAAAAAATGGAAACTTTGGCATGCCAGGATTCACATTTCTTGACATTTTGTGATTTTAATCAATAACTCATAAAGACATCCCCGGGACCTTTTGGCAGCTGTTTGAGAGGCAGAGATTTGTAAATCCCTTGGTTCGTGTCACTCAGCTCTGAGAACTCTTCAACAGCTGATTTCACTAAACCATCTGTAAGTGTAATGAGCCAATAATTAAAGTTTGGCAGGTGCATTTCATTTTCGAGCCCTTGGTGGCTTCAGGACAGTTTTTATTATTCGAGATGTAACTTTTACATAAACGTATTTTTGGTTAAAATCTATTTTTAAGCCCAGGCAAGCAAGGAAACTCGGTCAGAACTGTGATCAAAAGGCTCAGTTTGCCTTCGAGGGTTTGACTAAATATGTCCTCAAATGTCCTTCCCCCATCACTGAAGTATTTCACAATATATTCACAAAATTATCTTGTGTGGATGAGTCAAAACTAAGGGAAAGCCCTTTCCCACAAGTTCTAACAATGCTTTCAAACATAAAGGCAATGTTCAGCAAAACTGCAGATGTTCAAGAAACAGGGAGAGAATATGAGAGATTTAAACGACATCAATTTTAATTTTTAGGGTTTTTTTAGTAAATAATGTTACTACTACATTCCCAAAAATATTTAGGAAACTGTGATTAAGGCAAAGGACAAAGCCTCAGCTTTTTTCTTTAATTTAATTTCTCTGTCTTCAACGATTAATTCTGCAGCCTCATTTATTACTGACTGTATCAACTAAAACTCCTTTTCCCACCTGGGAGCTCACACAGCAGAATGAATTTCGGATCAACCACGCTGCACTTCCTCAATTTAACACTTCCTCCTTCATACAGATAAAAATCCCTAATTTCCATAGAATCTTACAGATCTATTTAGATTTTTTGTAGGATGTCAGTGAGCACGAAGTGCGTGTTTCACCCCTTAGTGAACACGTGGCAGGGATGAGGCCGAGTTAAAGGCTGAAATGAGTCTGGCTGTGCTCTACTCTGCTATTTAATTGGCTTCTAGGAAATTCAGATTGTTTAAAAGGATCCTCCAGTTTTCCAGAACATAACATACATACCATAATATAAAGGTCTCTGTTTCTACCTGTTTAATGCCTTTAAGACACAGCTGTGGCTTCACCTTCTTCAGCAGGATGTGCAGTGTGAAATGACGGCTGTTTCTGTCGAACCCACTGCAGTGCTGCACGTTGCTCTGTGCTGCCCTTAAACACGAGCCACAGGCCTGAGCAGCTGCTCAGTGACTCCCAGAGGATGATCCTGACCTTCTGTGCTGGATAAACTCGGGCTCCAGGCCTGGAGAAGTTCGGTGGGTAAAGCTACGCTTGCCACAGTGACATCAGCGCACACTCCTAGGGCAACACATCAAATGACACCTTCACTGGCATCCCCCACGCCCAGGTGTCACCAAACACGTGTGTTCCTCAATCAGATCCATGCTCTGTAGCCACTATTGGGCACCAAAGCGTTTTGGGAGCGAAGCAGCTCCGGGTTTGTGCATGATGAGCTGGGCTCACAGACACGGCCCTAACCCCGTGCACACCCAGCGACACCCCCTGCTCAGCAGTCGCTCCTGGTTCTTGGAGCTCCACACTTAAAAGGCAAAGTTCATTCTGCCACACACAACACCGATCAGCGTGGGTAAGAAAATCACCCTTGGTGATCCCAAAGGGAATACCCCCTCCCCCCCACCAGGACCAGCGCTGTTCCACCTGTCCATCAGCACGGGAAGCTGATGCAGTGAGGAGGTGATCAGAATTTTTCTAAGACTGGCATAAAGGTTTCAGATGATATTTCTCACCTCACACTGCAATGGCACATGCTCTGCCCATCCCAGCCACTTATTGCCAGAATCACAGCAGGGAGAGCAGCTTATGCACATTAAAAAAAAAAATAAATCTAGCGCTAATATTCTCAAACGCCGAGGTTTTGAAGAATCTTTAGTTCTGATTAAAGCACAAATTCTTGGTCCTCAGAGATTTCTCACTTTTAAAATATTATGAGAAACACGGTCCCTCCTCTCTGCAAAGGGTGTGTGCCAAAAGGGATGGATATCAGGAAAGGTATATTTAGCTAATAAAGCCCGACAGGGAGTCATGCTGACTCCACAAGTCACGTCTCTCTGAAAATACAAGGACTATTTGTATTATTGTGCCTTTTTCACTCTCTTTCTTTCTTTTTTAACAAACAATATTATGTCATCAGCAAAGCCAAGCTGCCTGGGAGAGGAGAGCTGCAAAATTTCCTGGTGTTCTCCATCTGGAGGGCCAGATACAAAGGCTGGCTAAGTCAAGTGAAAAAGAGCTTAGTGGTTTTGTCTCTGCTTTCCTTGGAGCTCATCACAGCACAGCTCAGAGGGATTTGGCAGCCCTTGCCCAAGGGACCAGCAGCAGGGTGGGATATAGGCTGGAGGAGCGTTGTGGTACCCTGGGAGATAACTGGGATGATGGTAACACACCCAACAGCTCAAACCACCCGTTATCAGCCC